ATACAGAGACGGAGAGGGAGGGCAAGACGAATCATGCCGAAAAGAAAATGAGAATGTTTATGCTTATGAATTAAACTCATCAAACGGACATATATTAAATACCAAATTTCAAAAAACCCACGTACTTTCATCAGGTATTGTATATCACTCGCAATATACTAAATTTTATTCACAGAATATTACATTATAAATAATTATATAATATTTCTTGAAAGGATGTTTTAAAATATACATTTTTTCTTTTAGCTACATATAACATTGATATCACATTCTCCAGTTAGCGGTATGAATATATACTACGCAGTAAAACGGCTCTAGCACGTGCTCGAGAACGTTTGCGAAATTACGCGAATCATTTTTATGAGTTACTCACCGAACTTGCCCTCCACATTGGTTGGTCATCAATGCTTGTCAAACAAATCACCGCGTGTGGGGCCTCGGGTCTTCAACAGATGTGCCTCTGACCGGGAGTTTCTAGGGTTCGAGCACCGATAGTGTCAGGCTTTCCACACTAGCGAGGTCGAATTCAGTTGCCAGATGAGCAGAGAGATATATCGGCCGGCTGCTGTGATCTGTAGTTTTTCTGATCTGCACCAGGCGAATGCCGGAGTAAGAACCGTAAGAAACCGGCCACAGACAGTGATATTTCCTTCTTCGATCTAGCATCATTTCACATCTACACGCACTCCCACTTACATTCACTTCACTTCCACTCATGCTGCGAGACCGGTCTGAATCTTTGAACGCGTACCGGCATAGGCGGTGCCCTGCTAGTGGGAAATACCTAGTTTGGGAAATCTCCGCAGGACGGCGTCGGATCTCACCATCCAGCGGGAAAAGAACTCTGCCACCGCTACCACAACCACTACCACCACCACCACCACCACCACCCGTGAACAACACTTACGGGACTAATGAACTTTGAACGCACCAGGAAACCCGATATAATACAAAATCGCTCACATGACTGAACACATAATACCACTCCATGCATACAATCTGACAATTACAACTTTCACAATCTACTATTATATTTCATATATTTCACAATGACGTAACTATTTCTATGAATACCTGTTTTGAGGTTCATTTACAGTACGAGCTTCCATGTACAGGGCTACTTTAGAAGCAAACCATGTACTCAACAACAAACACATTACTATTTCCAAAATTTCCTAAATCGTGCATTGAGACCAAATGGATCGCCATACATCGAAGAGTTGTCATCCGCATATATTGCACGGTTCACGGTCAGTCTCTCTACATGTCGCTTGACAGCCGCTTAGCTCGTAATTGCGCCTGCCGTGGCGTCACACTCACCGCCCGTGACTCACCCTTAGACTGTTTCTACGGACTCAGGACTGTTTGCCGTCTCTGGCTGGGGAAAGCATAATCACCCCTAGCGTGGTGAAGACAACACCAAATAATCGTTTATTTTCTTTATGTTGCTACGAATACTTAAAATTTAAAATTTGTAAGGGGGCGGGGGAGTTATTTTTTTGGGTATAAAAATGCATTGTGAATCTTGCAGCTCCAAGTGTCGGCAGAGTCAGCAGCCTTCCAGAAAGCGACCTGGTTCCGCACCATTTTCTTCAAATTTAAAATTTGTAAGGGGGAAGATTTTTTGTTTTTTTGGTATAAAAATGCACTGTGAACCTTGCAGCTCAAAGTGTCGGCCGAGTCAGCAGCCTTCCAGAAAGCGGCCTGGTTCCGCACCATTCGCTACCCGTGGCGGGACTTCACCGACTCCAACCTGCAGCGCCAGTTCAAGAAGTACTCGTTTCTGGGCGACGCCGCGCTGCCGCCGGAGAAATTCGAAAAGGTGAGGAACGCCACCCGCAACCGTTGCTTTCAGCCAATTTTTTGCAAAGGCATTTTTAACAGGGATATTATTGGAATATTTAGGGGTGTGGTTAATTTTTAGGACTTAATCCACGTCATCAAGAACCCTTCGAAGAGGGTGTGCTATAATTTTATAAAAGTTGCTAACAACTTGCTCCCAATCTTATTGTTAGGTGTATCGCCAACTAATTCCAACTTTAATTGTCATAAATTTTAATATACAACACAATTTAAATGAATACAAATTATTTTTTCTGTGCTGTAATTTATTTTCACTTCTTGCATATGCAAGTATGGAGAACAAGTACGCGGCACGCCTACGTGACAGGGGGGAGAGGGAGTATTCAAAATACACCAAATTTACATTACGTAATTTATGCAGCAGCTAATACTAAGATTGCAAATGCAAATGGTATTAGTATTTGCAAATGGTTCAAGAAAAAGTGATGAAAGCTTTTGTTGTATGCTTCCCGCATATTGAGTGGGTTAGGTGTATCATGTACTGAATCAAAATAGTGTCAAACATTTATACTGTTATCTTTTTGTAGTTGTATATAAATAATAAATGCGTTTTAAATAATTAATTGTAAACCATGCTTCATATTCAACATAATGTCTTTCGACGCCCATGTCTTTGGCGACCATGTTGATCTCAAAGCTTGACAAGCTGATCAGCGAAATGGAGGCCATTTACAGCACGGCCAAAGTCTGCGACTACTTCAACAAGACCAAGTGCGACCTGAGTCTGGAGCCACGTGAGTACTTGCTGACACATATTATGTTTTATATACAGTAAGAGGGGGATATTTTACATCAGTACATGGTTAATGTCTGTCTAGGTAGCCTATTAATAACAAATATCGACCATTATTTTAACAGGCCCATTTAGAATTAAGAATAGCTATTAAATGGTGAATGTTACGGACCTCAAACATATTGTTACCATCATCTGGAAAAAGAAAAATAACTTGTAGTCTCATTATAATCTACATGAAAACCCTTATGTAAGAGAACTATAAGCATTCGTACTTCCTCTTTTTAGGCATCGTCTTGACTGAGGCGCAGTATTTTCCTCTTTTTACTGCCATTACGACAGTAATGCAGGCCACGATGGCCACAATGTGTTTGAAGGCCGGAACGTCAATAACATTCACATAATAATAATATTAATAATAATAATAACAATGATCTTTCTTTGATTGTAAATGTGTCTGTTAAAATAATGGTCAATATTTGTTACTAATAGAGGGTATTTTGACAAATATAGAGACTTTCAGGTTTCGCCCTACAGTCTGTCAATTTCAATTTGTCACGTGAAAATATGAGGTGCACACATTTTCAAAGTCGTTTAATATTAAATTATGTCATAGAACAATTTAAGTTGTTGCACTAGGGGCTAAGTCGTGGTCTACGTGTTGATGCCAAGTGGTGGTCTACCCTATCAGTGTAACCATCAATAATATATTTTGCATTTTTATTTTTATTTTTTTGCCTCAAAATGCTGATAATTTCTTGAGTCTTTGTTTTTATTGAGTCTTGCCAAAAACTGTCCCGATTTCCCAATCTAGGTATCTCCCCCAGGGGGTCACAGCCGCAGCCGGGACAAGTGGTAAACTTTCCACCTGTTCCCAGACATGTGTAGTAGCGTACTGCATGCATGCAAGTGTGCGAACGCGCGTGTGTATGTGTAAGGGGAGAGTAATTTATCCAGGCAAAACAATTGAGGCGATCTCCTCACAAAGGGCTTATCGGCGAAAATGTAGTTTTGAAAAAGTGGAATTGAAAGTTTGTACCACCTTTATTTAATATCATTGTTAAGTTAAACATCAAGCTGTATTAATTGCCGATATAATAAACACCTTGACAAAGTATGTATTAAGTAATTCCTTCATGTACATATTTCAATATATTGCAATAGTGCTTATGTTTCCTTCTTCCAGAGAAAACAAAATGCTCTGCACAAAATGCGAAAAATAATAGTAGTGCGAAAAATGGGAAATAATAGTAGTTGACAATGTTCGAGGCGTAAAAAATTGAATAATTTCAAAGAAATGAAACCTGTGGGTGCAAAACACTTTTACAAGGAATTCATTTGAATTTTCACCACAACACATTTAAGCCAATTCCTGTTTGCCAGTGACATGAACACAAAATCTGTAATATCTTGACTTTTGCTGTTGTAATGCTTGGTATGGGAACTAGATAATATTTAGGTAATATTTAGGCATGGATTTCTTGTCAACCATAGTTGGAATATTATGTAAATCTCAGTGTAAGTTGTAAAAGACAACAAAGTACAAACATTTGTGTACTACATTTAGATAAATTTCTGTATTGGAAGATATAATTCTTTATTTTTGTTTTTGCCAAAATAAACGCTTCAACACTTTTGTTCAATTCTTTATAATGCCACAATACATTACAATATTGAAAAATGATGGGTCAGTACAACATTCAACCATGGCTAGCTGATTATGTTTAGCAGTGCCTTTTTCTTAACGACATATAAGACCATACTTGAAACTTACAATACAAAACATGCAGAACAGAGCCCGATAATACACTCCCAATGGCAAGAGCTGGTTGTGGATGTGATGTTTCAAACAAATCTTCACCCAGTACTGCCACATCAAAACAAACATTTTTGAGATTACCATGTGACAGTTCATTACAACAGATCTCCGTTAAAGAGGCCCATGAAACTGCAGGCTCTTTGTCAGAAGATCGCCTCAACTAGTCCCTGATTTATAAAATTTTAGGTTCCGGAATGCATACGAAATCAATTACACAGACACCCAAAAAAAGTTGTCCCACCCAAAGACTTGAAATATGTGTCAGTATTTATGAAATATGAAGACTTGAAACATGTTTTAGTATGTATGTCGACGCGCACAATCCGAATCTGGACCCACAAAAATTGGAGGTTTTTGGCGTAATTCTGGCTTTAGATTCGCATTCAGAAATACATAGAGAAACAAGTGTCAAGACTTGGGGTCAGGCAACTTTTTTTGGAGGTATCTGTGTTATTAATTTAATTGAAATGATTGTATATTTAAAATGCAATTTATTAATTATTCCCGAGGATCCGGGACCTCTTTCAGTCGCGTTCTGCCAGAAACCAATTGATCACGACTCCGATTGCAGACCTGATAGAGCGGATGGCGCACTCGCGCGACGCCAACGAGCTGCGCCACTTGTGGGTGGAGTGGCGGCACGCGTCGGGCGAGAAGTGCAGAGGCCTCTTCGAGCGCTACGTGGCGCTCAGCAACGAGTCGTCGATATTAAACAGTGAGTTCGCTCCCCTGCCCCCGCCGTTCCTTGCCTTTGGAATCTCACGCTCCGGAATGTCTGCCCTGTACCTGACGGCTGTCCCCGACGGACGAGGCAACAGAGACACGCTTTACCCCCTTGCCCTTGCATGCTCGCCACGTACGCGCACGCGCTTCGTTGCAAATTGGATAGATAGTAAGATGGATAGATGGATAGACGAATGGGTTGAAAGATGGATAGATAGACACATGGATAGATAGACACATGGATAGATAGACACATGGATAGATAGACACATGGATAGATAGACACATGGATAGATAGATAGGCCGAATTTCATTATAAAGAAGATAACACTAATGTTATGTTTATCAATCAGTATGAAGATCCAACTTCAACTGCATTTACACAACGATTATAAACTATGACATGCGAGAGGCTGCTGTAATTGTCACCGCTCCACAATATTGCCAGCAACAACACGTGAATCTGCGAAAATCGGTGCGCATTTCAAGTTCGCGTAATATTTGTTAGCCCCCATGCGCAGTTGCTTTGTTGATTCGTTGGATGTAATTCCGGGCGGAGGTCATTAGACTTGTAAGTGTAGTTCAAGCTTTATCCTCTGGAGGTGTGGGATATATTGCCCCACTGGATGGCGAGATCCGGCTTCGACGTACGTCGGTTAGTGGCGTTTGCCCCACCCAGGTATCTGTCACCAGTGGGGCACCGTCCCTGCCGGGATAGGCTCTAAGCTTCCGATCGATCTCCCGGCATATGTGGTAGTGTAGTGCATGTCAGTGTAAGTGTGTGTAAGTGATGATGATAGGACAAGAAAGAGGAAGAAAATATCACGCACGGTCCGTTGCCCGTTTGTTAGGATACTGCTCCGGCATTCGTCAGGTGTTAATCAGAGAAACCACGCAAAACTACCGATCAGAGCAGCTGGCCGCTAGAATTCTCCTCTAGACAGCGACTGAATTTGATCTAGCTGACAAGCTAGTGTCGAAAATCCAGCCACCTTCGGGACTCGAATCTACAACCTCTCGGTCAGAGGAAATGCAGTGACCTTAGTTGATGCACTGAGCCCCCTCTCCCGGTCAATTTCTTTGGGTTTGTGCCAACCACTTCATGGCTGGCGATGTCTTGTATCACTTGTTGCAAATGAAGATTTTACATAACAGATATCAATTTTAAATTCGGTTATCTCCCGCAGATTACACCGACACGTCGGAGGTGTGGTTGGAGCCGTATGAAGCGAAGGACTTCCGCGACCAAGTGCGCGAGCTGTGGGAACAGCTGCGGCCGCTCTACGAGCAGCTGCACGCCTACGTGCGCCGGAAGCTGCAGGAGCAGTACGGGGAGGCGGAGGTGTCGCGGGACGGGCCCATCCCCGCGCATCTCGTTGGTAAGTTGCTCGCCGATCGATTGTGCTTATTTGTACGAGCTTGATAATTATTTTTTCGTGTAGTTAACTAAATATGTTATGATTAATTCCATGAAAAATCGTTGATTATCTCTACGTTAATAGCACGCATGCAATTGAAATTCAACCGTACAATAAAACTACAATAGTACTTGCCAATCAGAACTCAGAAAAGGAATGAAATCTTTTAATTAATCAGAATTCAGAAAATGTGAAAAATCCAAATTAATGTTTAATAGACCGTTCTTAAATGAAAAGCAATACAGATATTCTAAAAAATTTTAAAATAATATTTTTTCGATACAGACAAAATGCAGACAAACGCAGAATAAGCTTAATTTTAAAATATTGTAACATTATACGTCAATGTTATTTTCTTAATTTCCATGTTGGGCAAAAACAATATTAAAATCCTTCACCGTTCTAATTTTGATAGAAAAATTGTTAGATATAATTACCCTTCATTCACTGAACAGAACTTAGGACACCGTCTGGAGAAGTTGAATGAACAGGGCTGGGTTTGGTTCGCAGGCAACATGTGGTCGCAGTCGTGGGACGCGCTGGTGAACAAGACGCGGCCGGCGCCCAACACCGTCGTCGCCGACGTCACCCCAGAGATGGTGAAGCAGGTGCTCACTTTCTGGCCAAGCGACGGCCTTCTGTGGATCGTCACAACGACCTGCTCAGTTTCACTGTGTGCCTGTTGGCTGTCTGCGTGTGTCTGTCTGCGTGTGTCTGTCTGCGTGTGTCTGTCTGCGTGTGTCTGTCTGCGTGTGTCTGACTGCGTGTGTCTGTCTGCCTCTCTGTCGGTTAGTTTATTGGTTTGTCTGTCTGTCGGTTTGTCTGTCTGTAAGTCTGTCTTCTGTCTGTCTACCTGTGTCTGCCTGCCTACCTGTCTGTGTCTGCATACCCGTCCCTCCCTGTCTACTTGTGCCTATCTTTTATTTTGTCCGTCGTGATGCATCTTGGTGTCTGCAAAGAACTTGCTATACTCATATAATTCAGATAGAACATTTGAGCAGCTCACCGTCATCGTCGAGGCTGATTTCGTCACATTATTGTAATAAAAGGCATTAACGTGACTTTGTAACAATGACGAATCCGGAGAGGAGAATTGTAGGATTATTCTTGACATTACCGAAGAATTTCATCTAAATCTAAAGATTACTACTTTCAGAGGCATTGTGTTTGACGAAAATATGACCTCATAATATTCAAATATTGGGAAGAAGTACAGAATATAAAACTATAAATATGAATTGCATCCTTTGCAAAAAATTCAAATAACTGTATGTACTTTTTTAATATATTTTTTGCAGTGAAATTTTTAAAAAGCTCAATTTAAATATTCCGTTATGAATTTATTGAACCAAATTTGTGTATCATTAACAAAATTGTGAAAATTATTTTTCATTTAGTATAAAATTAATTTTAATTTTACTGAAGCCTCATTTCCAACGTGGACCATAAATCGTTTCAGTTTGCATGTATAAAGCCCCTAGGAGTTTCTGATGGCTATGAACCTCCAACATTGTGTGGAGATTCTGTAGCAGAATATAGGGCCTAGTAAAGGCGTTGCAGTTTGACAAGGATTGTGCTTCACAGGGCTACACACCTCTTCGGATCTTCAAACTGGCAGAAAAATTCTTCACGTCGATCAACATGAGCGTCCTGCCAGTCTTGTTCTGGCAGCGTTCTGTCTTGGAGAAACCCAAAGACCGGGAGATCACCTGCCACCCCACCGCCTGGGACTTCTACGACGGCCAGGACTTCAGGTGAGTCCCTCCACGCTCTGCCAACGTCAGCTTAAATCAATATCCCACTCCCACAAATCCCAAAAGATACGCCCTCCCCCAGCCTCTTGTTGACCACTTGGCGCGCACCCCAATTTCACCATTCACGGTCTTCTTGGGACTTCTACGACGGCCAGTATTTGAGGTGAGTCCCTTCACGCTCTGGCAACTTCGGCGTATATCCCAGAAATTCCAAAAAAATCCCCCCAGCCACGTGATGACCATTTGGCGCGTACCCCGGTTCCACCGTTCTCGCTCTTTATCCTAAGAGCCAATTTAACGTTCACACATTCTTCTCTGCCACCAACGTCCGACCCTTAATCGATTATTGGTGTGTTATAACAAATGAAAAAGCACACCTGCTGCGCATTGAAAGTGTTTTGGCAAATAATGCAGACGTTTCTTATTATGCGACAATACACTCTCCAGATATATTGTTCGATGCTACTACAACTAAAAACATCCCAGTCACTAAAAAGAACAACACTTTCTCAGTGTTACAAATGTAAAAATGTCCCTCTTTTCTTTCGAAACAATTCAAAATAGTTATATGCGACTTTTCTCTTGTTCTTTCACGCACCACCTGTAGCTGGAACGGTGATTCATCTTGATCAGGGTAAAAACGTGATAGAAGATTTAATAAATGGATGATACTTATTGAGTGTAGGAGAGAATACGTGTTTCAGAAAAAGAGGAAGAATGTAAAAATGAACTATTCAAAAGATTTTAATAAAATTGACTAAAAATTCTGATATATTAATAATTTGTTTCTTCAGTGGTACTAGAAACCAAAACAATTTTTTGCATTTTGAGCAGTAAAAGTTGTGCTAACTATCGAATTTCTATTTTTTTGCTTTAAACGTTAATGAACTAGAAAAAAATCCTGTGTTGGAAATTATCCTCACTTGTTCGGAAACAGTGAAAAATTCTTAGAATTATTAGTTCAAAAGAAATTATCTATTTTATAGAACGCGTTTTAAAAATTATCTATTTTAAAAATAAACGCGTGCCTACTGCTTTGACGGACGACACTTATGCCATTCAATCAATGTAGTATTATTAGTTGATTGAGAGCATGTGCAACCTCTTGATCTAGAGCGACTCACCCCCTTGAGACCTTTGGAGCTGGAGCAGGAGGCAAGTTTGTATAGCGCTTGGCGTCCATATCTAAATAAATTTAGCGTGAGTGACCTGAGATCCTCCATAAAATCCGACACTCACGTGTTTCGATACTTTATGGGGCCCCTGTAGATACTGCACGCATATGTTATTGGCATACTCCGCCGGGTGGGGGCTTCACGATATTTTATTGCTTTAAAAATGGAAATAATTTTTAATTTATGCCACTTATACTAAATTAATAATATATATTCTTATTTCACTTTGTACATTCTTGATGAAAATTCTGTCTTCGTCCATGAGAGAATATAAAGCAAAGACTTTCATAGAAAAATTCTTGTGATAGTTTACACGACTTAAAATTAATTCTTACGCTTCACTTTGCAATGCGATTTGATCAAGATGCGGTAAATCATTTACATAAATTTTTGCTTAAAGTTTTCAATCCTAATGTAGACCATGGTGCAAATTGCAGGGGGATGCTAAAGATCGTCAGCCTTTGCGAGGTTGACGTCCCTTACTGGAAAGTGTTAAATTCCCTCTGCCAGAATCGCAATTTATCGATTTTATAGGTGTCTCAATTCACAATTACTGAATTTCTAGGAACTATTACTGACAATGTAAATGTGAGAGGCAACATGTTGGAATAGCCCGAGGCCTCCTGTACGAGTATGTATTCTCGTATTACTAATTTCCAATACGCAGAGACATTGAGAGAGAATTAGGCCCTCTCTGACGTGATAAAGATATCAATGGTTTAGCTAGATACATATAAACATGGTGGATATTAAAAAAAGCAATAAGTTTCGATTTTGACTGAAAAATGCAAATATTTGTTTGTAATATTCCGCCTATTCTGAAAACTGCGGCAAATGACTGAATACTCATACTTGGTGCGTCACTGCCTTCAACACAGCACACGTCATACGACAGCATGACTTCAAGGAGAGGTCGCCCTCCTTCAAATAATTATTGTGTTCGTGTTGTGTTGTAGCAGATCTTTTTTGTTATTCTTGGTAGTATAAGAGGAACTGTTGTACTATAGTGTGAGTATACTATAGGTACTAAACGTGAAGTTTAACCGTTTAGGTTAAGTATTTTTTTATTTATTGCTGTGTTGTAAGAAAATATTTCTTTGTTGAACTGGAGTGCTTTGCCATTTTTGGAAAACCATCTTTTGTGTTTTATGTGGTTAAGCGTCATTCTCGCTATTACAGGCCAATAATGTTTCATCATATTCTCAGATCACTTGAAACAAAGAAAAACAGAGAAAAAAGAAATCTTCTGTTTTCGTAAAGTCACTTCAAGTTGTTAATTGTTTTATTTTAATTTTTAAACGTCCCTCCAGAGAAAACGGCTAATGCGCCCAGTGCAGTACATTACCTACTAGAGGGAGAGCCAAATCTTACACACGTATACGTAAGCTTCCGCGGCTCGAATCCATGAATTCTCGGCTATCTGGGAGACGCCGCGTCGTTGGCTGGGGTGCCGACGTTTCGCCTGACATGACGAAGTCACTGCCCTGAGGAAGCCTGCGACATGTCAGGCGAAACGTCGGGACACCAGCCAACGACGCGGCGTCTCCCGGATAGCCGAGAATTCAAATCTTAGACACATTGGACATTAGCTCCGCATGTCTTAAGTGGAATTTTCTTTCGCTCCAGGATCAAACAGTGCACGACCATCACCATGGCACACATGACGACGGCGCACCACGAGATGGGTCACGTGCAGTACGGAATGCAGTACAAGCACCAGCCGATAATCTACCGATCAGGAGCAAATCCAGGTACGAATACACTCTTGCCAGCCAGTGGCATATAATCGCAAGGTTTGGACCGGAGAAGGTGGTTAAGGGCATCAATTGACGTCACTGCAGTACATCTGACCGGAGGTCGTAGGGTTTGAGACCCGACAGTGGCAGAATTTTTGACGTTACTTGCGTAGATACACTATGTGATCAAAAGTATCCGTACATGTCCAAAATAGTGTTATGGTGAGGTCGGGTTTTTCATGGAGGGGGCTTGCACCCCTTGTTGTATTGTGTGGCACAATCACAACATAGGCCTACGTTGACGTTTTAACTCCTTCTTTCTTCCCACTGTTGAAGAGCAATTGCATCTTTCAACACGATCGAGCACCCGTTCATACTGACGACCTGTGACGGAGTGGTTAAACGACAATAAAGCCTCTGAAATGGACTGACCTGCACAGAGTCCTGACTTCAATACCATCAAACACTTTTGGGATGTTTTGGAAGGTCGACTTCGTGCCAGGCCTCATCCACCTACACCAATACCTTTCCTCAGAGCAACACTCCCTGAAGAATGGGCTGCCATTCCCCAAGAAACCTTCCTGTCCTGATTGACCAATAGACCTGATAGAAAGTATCCCTGAGAGAATGGAAGCTGTCATCAAGACTAAGGCCGGGCCTATACCCCGTTGAATTTTTGCATTACCGATAGAGGGCGCCACGAACTGGTAAATCATTTTCAGCGACGGGTCCAGATACTTTTGATGACATACTGTAGCTGGGTCGAGTTCAGCCGCTGTCTGGAGGAGAATACTAGCGGCCGCCTGCTCTGTTCCGTAGTTTTCCGTGGTCCCTCCGATCAACACCAGCGGAATACCGAAGTGGTACCCTAACAAACGGCCCAAGGACCGCGCGCGATCTTTCCTTTCTCTTCCTTGCTCTATTCGCTCCCCTTACTTATACACAATTACACTCACATACACTACTCTACTACACACACTACATACACACACTTGTCGACTGCATTGAATTCCGCACCCTCCAATTAGTAAAGAACATACATGTTCATCCCTGCTACAAAACCAAGTTTTTGTTTGTTGCCTAGAGTTATTGTACTATACCCTATGCGAGATGCGAAGACTGCGATGTAGATTGTAAAATTAAATACACTTGTGATTACATAACTTAGTAAGGTAATCATTCACCCTCCCAGCAAGTGACCTCTGTGGATGTCCGCCAGATGGCGTGTCGATCGCGGATTCGCCGTCAGCGCGTTCTGCCCTTTTGGTGCGGACACAGGTACTTCGTAGTTCCCCCCTCCCGCCGTCGACTTGCTCGCGTGCTCCGTGTCCTGCAGAACACGAAAGTCGTCGCGTGTTGCGCCGCCGTTGGCCTGGATTTGGCTTCTCACGATTGTCCCCTTGCGCTGTCGCACTTCGCAGGGTCTTCTCGTGTCAGACACTCTCAGGATTTACTTGTTACACATTTGACTCTCCGCCAATTCTCTGCTGGCGGCCTTAAAAACGTTTTTTTCCTCTCTCTTCTAAAGATGCATTTTACGGAATGTTCTTCGTACTTCAAAGCTATGTCGACCTACCGTCGTTTCACTAACTTAAGCTAAACGAACCTTATTAACAGAAAGTCATTTTATAACAATGACGTTAATTTCGAAGTAGTAAAATAAAATTTACTTATCGTTGTGTTTTGTTTATCACTCATCTTCGGAGCTTTGATATTTCAGAACGTTATATTATCAATGAACCGAAGCTAGACATTCTTAACATTATAGACTCGTTTTAAAACATCCGGTAACAATAATATGCGAACTATGGTTATCTACTACCTTCGCAAGATTATTACGAGTAATTCTAAAACCGTATATTTTTGAAAATGTTCGTGAATATATAAACAACAGAAGACTCGAGATAATGCCCTAGTTCCCGATAGATCGAGGCCTCGGTTAGGCAGCGATAAGAAAACCAAATAGATATTATTAAAACTGGTAATGGTGACAATTCCATAGATTTATTGAAAGGTTTTTATTGAGGGCTAAGCAAGTAGGAACTTTCTAAAGATAATTAATTTAAAGAAATGCCATTGTCTGTGCTGGGCGACGTGTCACCGATTATATATTTTTAAGAATATTGTCTTTTCCATATTTTTAATTGGGATATATAAACTTGCTAAACATAATTAATTAAAAAACCTATTATGCAAAAATTATATTATGCATATTTTCAAGAATATTGTCTTTCCTGTATATGTATTTGGCATTTAAGGGTCGGATTTAAATCCAACTTTTACCAGCTAGCGATGTTCCCAGGTCTGGGCACTCTTTTTATTTGTTATCCCCAAATACCTGGGATTAAGGGAGGCATGTGGCAAACATGATAAATTCATCGTATCTAGCATACTTAGCCTGCTTGAGCTTTCTTTCGTCATAACTTTTCTATATATAATGGCCTAATTTGGATTCTCTAAGTGAAAATACATTTATACTTTTATCGTTTTTATTGGTGATGTTTTTATTTACATTCATGTACGTTTATTTATAAATATTATCTTAAAAATAAATAAATAAATTTCTATTCCTTTTTGCTGTCATTTAGGAAATGAATACCGGATTAAACGAGTTGTTTGTACACGTTGTACACATTTCGGCCGCAATTTCCTGGGATAATCGCGAACCTATTCTAGTACGAGTAAACTTTAAGTGTATAAAATATCTAGATCAACTATATGTACAACTTTGCCTGAAAAGAGACGTGTTTGGGACTCGCTAATGTTGCAATCGAGTTGGAGTACCTGTCAAACCACTCTTGCGAAGTTGAATGCTGTGTGTGTGTGTGTGTGCGTGCGCAAAGGCCGGTGTTTCACCTATCAACGTATGTGGGGTGTGGTAACTCACTTTTATTTTGTAACAATCAAACTCGCACAAAAGGTTTAGGATACCACACTCAAAGGGAATAGATCATTCATTCTATTAGTAGACCGAGAGACCAGTGTCATAAAAACGCCAGTCATTGATTCACGTTTCTCAATTCGTGTACAAAATATGTAGTACTACTCATCAAAAAATAATACAGTTTGTTGATTTCACGAAGATTGAGATAAGTGTACGTGTAATTCTTAATTGTACTTAACTGTACATAAACCCTTTGTTGAAATCTGTGTGTATGTGCGTTAAGGTTTCCACGAAGCGGTGGGTGACGTCATAGCGCTGTCAGTGTCCACTCCCAAGCACTTGCGTAAGATTGGCCTCCTGAAGGATGAGCAGAACGACGAAGACTCCACCATGAACTACCTCTACCTGCAAGCGCTACTGAAGGTGGCCTACCTGCCCTTCGCCTACCTCATGGACCTGTGGCGTTGGGACGTCTTCAACGGGAACATTACCTCGCACGATTACAACTGTCGCTGGTGGGAGCTCAGGTGCGGTAGTACTTTAACAGAGAACGAGCTGATCTACACTCCAGGTTGAGGGGGCTTCCTCTGTCAAGCACTGCGCTTCAGGACGGAACGTCATTTTCTTAGCTGGGGCAAAGAAATCGCACAAGAGTGGCAATAAAGTGCTCGTAACTGTGTGTGTGTGTGTGTTTATGTGGGGGGGGGGGAGTGAACACGAAGGGGATGAATGGAAGATCGTTTGCGGTCCTTTGGCTGAACAGCATGCAATCTTTCATTCTTAGTTTTTGTGTCATCTCCCCTGACACACACATGATCGTGCGCACGCACACACGCATACACGCATACACACACACACAGTTACATGCACTGCGACGTCATTCGGGTCGTGAGGGGAAGAGTTTGCTCCGGCTAGGGATATGATCCTTTGGGACTCATAGTAAGTGTAGAGCAGCCAGTTATTTGTTTTATATTTCATAGTTCTCACGTGAAGTGATTATCTATAAACAAAATAAGCTTTTAACAATAACTTCAATGTAAATGCTAGCACATCTTCATTTCATTCGTGGATTATCCCTAGAGATCTATTTCCATACAATATACTATAATCAATATTGAATAACAGAATTTAGCTTTTGGCACACAAAACATGTTTTATTGTGCTTATAGGCAATCGCTCATAATATTCAACTCTGATAACTTTATGCGTGCAAAAGCACCCTAACCGCTTTGCCAGTTCAAAATTGGTTCAAAGTTGTGTGTGTGTGGCTTAATGCGAAATGTGCGTTGCATGGCCGTTGAACGCGGGGACTGGTGACCGCTTAAAAGAGGACAGGGCTTAAATGCGTTCGTAGGCATACGCGGCCGGAGTCGATACCTATACTGCTGAGCTATACTTCAGCAGTATAGCTCTGAAGAAGGCCACAGCAAGATGGCCGAAACGTCAGCAGAATTGACCGAGGCGCGGCTCATCCCGGAGAGCCAAGAATGTATTTACAAGGCTTGTTGCAAATCAATCGGTTAATATATGGCCGTTAATCTGTAGACGAGTTTGCTTAGTAGAGGTTTAATATATTGTACTGCTGAGTAAATGGCCATTTCTTTTCAGAGAAAAATACCAGGGCATTGAGCCGCCAGTTGACCGCACAGAGGAGGATTTCGACCCTGGCGCGAAATTTCACATCGTTACCAACGTACCATATATCAGGTATATTTTTGCAAGTCATTTTTAATAAATAGTCTCAGTAACTTCATACTTTCTGTGAATGTTCGGTAATCTATTAAGACCAGAAATCATTCTCTCTGCTCCCCAGTTTGAAAAAGGCGAAGTCATTTAAGTGAAAATCTCTTGATATTAATATGGCACTAATCATAAGAAAATATTACTAAATTATAATTATATCATTTTTCTAGTATGCCCGATTGTAATTCATAATAATGCATTATTAATTTTCCATCATTCTATTCTCTTTCATTCGACAGTGAGAATGCATCTCTCCTCCACTGTTTGGAAAAGAAAAAGTCATTAAAGTGGAGTCTTGTTCCCGCTTAATCATTGATATTAGTGAGCCATTGAGTGTCGTCATCATTATTATTTAATATCATTCTAAATAAATTATCATAAGTGTGCCTAAGATGTTCAGTTATCGTTATTTAAAATTATATTTTATCACAACAACATATTGGGTCACATCGCCTAATTTACAGACCTTATCTACATGACAAAGGTGTGAACATTAAACCACCGCGATTCGTAAGCGCTTCAGGGGTTCTGTTTCCACCTTGAGCAATGCGGTTATCTATCATATTCAGCATCAAGGAGTTAAGTTTATCACAAAGGTGGTCAAAATGCGGTAAGTAGCAGAGGTAACGCCCCTCAAGCTGAAGAGAAATGCAAGATGGCTCTAAAATCAGTTTTCTCCCCATCTAACTTTTCACGAGTCCCTCCCACATTTTGATAGGAAATAATATCTATGTGTAATATGTTTCTATCATTCACCCTTTACTTAGCACTATCCAAGAAAGTCGATCGCACACCACCATTTCAAACCACCATTGTAAAGCACTCATCAGTGTCTGCAGTCATATGCCTGTAGACCATACCATCGTCATTTAATACATCTATTAATCATTATTATAGAAAGTAATATGAGCGTTGCTTGGCCCACAGGTACTTCGTGAGCCACGTCATTCAGTTCCAGATCCACCGCGCCCTCTGCCTGGAGGCAGGGGAGTACGTGCAAAATGACCCCTCCAAGCCTCTCTACAACTGCGATATCTACGAAAGCATTCCCGCCGGAGAGAGGCTCAAGTGAGTTATTATTTGTTGTAGGGAAGTTGACTGTATCTGCAGGAAGGGAAACCGGGCAACATAAACAAAACAACTGAATCCATAAATTTGGATTAAAGTTTGTGTTATGATTTATTGAGTAATACTAAAAAGGCCATTTTTCAAAATTCATACCAGGTTAAATGTGAATTGAAGAGGAAGAAAAATGTTTCTGTACAATTTTCGATTAAATCATGACCGAATTTTGTTAAATGCATGTATGCATTGCGGACTGGGAGCCACGGAGTGGGCATCAAGAGAACTGGCGAACAGATCACCGTCACCACGCACCGCGCCATCAGTATCTAAATCCTCACCACCTACCACCAATACCCTTCCATCACCCACCATTTCCACCCAACCTACTACCACCAACAACTGCCTCAACCCACTCCGTACCTCTCACCACCAATATCACCCACCACCAGTAATATACGTGATTCGGTAGCGCACTTGTTGTTGCCAATAACACCCACCGCACATCGTCAATAACACCATTCACCTGCAATACCGACCACTACCAATAACTACCACCAACCGAGCACAAGAATCCACCACCAGAACTCATCATCACAGACCAACACAACCCACCACCAAATGCTTTACTTTTCAATAAATAAAATTTGTAGAGGGACTAGCGTTAACCATATAATCTCTTCGCCTATGAAATATATGGTTAGGCAACGAATGCTTGGTCAACGAACGAGCCACATCTATAGCAAAGATTGTCTTTAAACATGTTATTGTAACTAATTCCTCATGACGGCAGGGCGATGCTGCAGCTAGGGAGCAGCGTGCCGTGGCAAGACGCCCTGGAAGTCGGTACCGGGTCTCGGCGCATGGACGCTTCAGCGCTGCTCGACTACTTCAAGCCGCTCCACGAGTGGCTCAAGGCCGAGAACGCTCGCACTGGCGAGCGCGTCGGCTGGGGGCCCTCGCGTCGCAGTGAGTGTCACGCCCACGACACTCTTGCGCCTTTCTCCACTCTTATTCTCCTCTTATTTACCTTTCCTCGTTTTTATCTAAGCGCTTATCTCTGAATATTTGTCATTCTTTCCACTTTGTACAAACGAGTTACGTAGTACATACCGCAAACTTTTCTTCTAGACCACTTAGTCTAATATTATTAAAATGTATATAGTGTAAACAGTTGCCAAGTTACCATTCCAATTCAATTGGGTCATTACGTCTGATCCAAAAATACTATAGGAAGAGATACAAAAATACTATAAGGACTACATCCGACCAAAAATACTATAGGGACAGTACATTCAAACAAAAAATTCTATTGTGAAATTATTTCCGACGCCAAACACCATTAGGACATGGCTGACTCAAAAATGATCCCGGGACATTTTTTGTGAAATATGACAAAGGACTTTGAGTCATTGTATTCCGACAAAAATACGTCTGTGAAAATCAATGCTCCATTACCTCCGTCCGTAGTCTGATGTTTCATACGTCTATATGAGCTGGAATTGACTTTTTGAAAATGGGTGAAGTAACATTGCCTATAATTTTGAAATGGTAAAACTCTAATCAAAGGTTCAGAGGTTATTGCATGTTTGAGGTACACATTTTAACCAAAGAGCTTTATGGATTTCATAGTGAATCATTCTTCGAAAATGCAGTCAAACGCCCAGTTTTACGATCAAATTTACTGCTTTACGAAACAGTTTTCTCCCACGAACCTACCCTTGCACAGGATAGGGCAGATATGAACCCGTGTCAGAAGAAATTCATGGGCCGGTGGGTTCCTGATAGCTATATCAGCTGTCCTGCACTCGCTCATGTTTACTCTACGAGGTAAAACGATATGAGTAGATGTAGTAGTCTACTGAGCTTTTAGTGTTAACAGAATTTAGTCGTGTAAACCACTAATACGTAAACGTAAAAGGGTGCTCCGGAGGAACCTCCACCTCTCTGACGAGACAATTCCTCGGTCCCCAATCCACTTCTCTTTATTGCCTTCTTTCAGTCTCAATACTTTATTAATGTCTTCTTTGTCTTTTGCCTCTGAAATTTGCCTTTGAAATTTCATTTATCTTTTCCAACTCCTCACATTTACTAATTACTTCTCTGCATCTCTTTACGATATCATCTTATGGTAGGATTTATTTATCCACTTCTTTCTTCTGCTGTTCCTTCTTCCCCTTTAATTTCTTTCTTCCGCGTCCATTCGTCAGTCATTCCGTTCTATTTTCTTTAATCTCATTCCTATTGAAATTACTTCCTAAATTTTAATGTTTTCTTCATTTGCTTATAGTATATTTTTTATTTGCTCATAGTATATTTTATTCAAGAACAATAAATTACTTCATTCAACATTCTTTTTATTATTAAAAAACAGTCCATGTTCAATATTATTGCGTCACATTCCATTTCTATAATTTTCTATTTCTTCATTTTCTCTTTTCTCTTAGTTATTCTTTGAAAACATTTTCTTCACACTACGCTACTATTTAACTCCTTCTACAGAGTGCGTGGCGTCACGAGAGGACCTGAAGCCTGCAGCAGCTGCAGGCCAGCAGCAGCTGTCCAAAGACAAGGAGGAAGCTGAGACATCAAGATGAAATGCAGCCACCGCCGTTCCAGCCATTCCAGCCGTCCCAGTCAACAGGTCTCTCCTCGCCGTACCAGACATCCCTGATGCCCCTGCCCTCCCTATCGTTCAATCTGCATATGATGACCTTGTGCATATCGTCCACTTCGTCTCTCTCGTCCACGTTCTTTTCAACCTCCCAGTCGCTCTTAACTTCCCAGATGATCGTCTATCTTTCGCCACTGCTCCGCAAGTCTCCTCAATGTCCATTTCGTCCCAGACGCCCATATCATCCCTGATGAAATTGTCGTCACAGACGTCCATTTCGTCCAAGAACGTGAGTTACGACCCTAGAGGGCCTTCCGTCCGTGAGCTGCCTGTCGCCCCGGAGATACCTAATGACGCTGAGATTCTTGTCGCCCATGAGGTACCTGTCGTCCCAGTCGTGCCTATCTATGTGTTCGTCGACTATGACATGCCTGCCGCTCTCGACATGCTTGTCGTCCATAATGCGCCTGTCCTCCAGGACATGTCGGTCGTTCCTCACATGCCTCTCGTCCCAGATGTCCCTATCTCCTTAGAGCTGCCTGTCGTTCCTGAGGTTCCTGTCGTCCCTAACATGCCTCTATTCCCCAACGGGCTTGTCTCTGACGTGCCTGTAGACCCTGCCCTTCCTGAAATCTCTGACCTGTCCTGTCTCTGAGAAATCCTGTCGTCTCTGACGTGCTTGTCGTTCCTGTTGGGCCTGTCGTTTCAGAGGTACTGATCGACCCTGAGGTGCCTGTCGTCCTTGATGAGCTTGGCTTCTCTGATGTGCGTGTCGTCCCAGAAGGGCCTCTGGTCATTGACAAGCATGTCGTTCCTGACGTCCCTGACACCCCTGTCGCCCCTGACGTGCATCTCGTCCTTAACGGGCTCGTCGTCCCTGATGTACCTGTGGTCCCTGACGAGCCTGACCTCTTTAACATGTTTGTCATCCCTGACATGCCTGTCGTCTGTAACGTGCTTGTCAGGTGCCTGTGGCCCCTGACGAGCTTGTCTTTTCTGACGTGCGTGTCGTCCCTGAAGTGCCTCTGGAAATTGACGAGCATGTGGTCCCTCTCGTTCCTGACGACCTTCACGTGCCCGTCGTCCCTAACGTTCCTGTCGCGACTGACGTCTTTGTATTCCGTAAGGTGCCTGTCGTGGCTAACGTGTCTATGATATCTAATGTCCCTGACGTACGTGTCGACTCTGACGTGACCGTCGTTCCTGTCGCCCCTATCGTGTCCATGGCCGCAGTCGCCCCTGCCGTTCCAGACTCCCCCGACGACCTCGTCGCTCCCTTCACTCCCGTCGCTCCTGCAGGTCCCGTCAGCGCAGTCGGTCACAACGGCTCCGCTCCTTCAGTTTCCGCCACCGCCCACACCACCTCCGTTGTCCTTCCTGCCGCCGTTCCTGGCGATTCTGTTGCCTCCTTCACCCCCTTCACTCTTGCCGCCACCACCGCCCCTCCATCCATCGCCGACCCATTCACCATCAATGTCCCTAACGTCGTTGTCGCTTGCCGTGCCCTCCGCCTTCTTCTCCGTTGCTTCTGTCGCCTCTGGTGATCCCGTTGTTTTCTGCTGTCTCTTCCGCCGCCATCGCCCACACCCCGTCCGCCGATGCGTTCAGCCTCGCTTTTCCCTTCTTCCCAGTCTCCCTCGTTGCCTCCGTGTCCCTCTGCTTGCCCTCCGTTCCTCACCTCGCTCCCATACCCCTGCCGACGATCCTGTGGTTCCTCCGCTAACGCCGTTCCTTCCATCTCGTCTACCCTGCCCTTCCCAATGGGTTCTTATCTCCCGCACCACCCACCATTCCCACATACCCTCCGCTCTGTCAGCCCCGCAACTACCGGTCTTCTGTTCCAGCCGCAAGCGCTGATTTCTGGCATTCACAGGCGGCAAGAGAGTCTTAGGGTCAAGGTCATTCATTCTTTTGGCGTAATTTTCAAACAAGAAATTGGGCGGTAAGGGGGTTTTCACGGAAGTCTCTTTGTTTGGCCTAAAGGCGGATTTTTATTACTCATTATATATTATCTTCTAAGTTGAAAGATTTGTGCCAGAATTAAATAACTATTCTTGGGCTAAAAACACGAAATATTGTTTAAACTTTTTCAGTACACATTTTCCTTTCGCGTATTATTTCATCAATATTATGTTTAATAGAAGATTTAGTTAAACTAAACTTATAGAACATTTTTGTTTCTTAAAACAACAAACACTTTTTGAAAGATGTTCTCGTAGGGATATATCAACCAAATGTAATCTTGAGTTGGAATAAATGAAATAAATTGCAATAAATACATATTATTTATTTTCAGAATGTTGATTTCACCCACGTGTTAAACCGTGGAATACGTATTTTACAATACATACATGTGGAAACGATTGATGAGTTACAACGGTTTGATACAAAATAGATGCAATTGCATTGTGATTCGTACAGTATTTTCTTAATAGACTACAATTTTTACAGCCCGTTAATGTACTACTCCCTTCCTTACAATCTTCCTTGCTTATGGAAGGTGGTGTATACCGTCAGCACGTCCATCTATGCCGAAGACCCGCAAGGACTCTCTTATGGCGGCTTCTCTTATGGCGGAGCGCAATCCGTGATCGCAGGGACACTTATCGTGTGAATTCTTTTGATGTTCCAGTACCTCAAACTCCCAATGACCCAGAAGCTTTCGTCACAGCTGTAAGTGATATTATTTCGCCCGTGGGATTCCACCTCTCGCCCTATGTAGTGTCGCAACTTTTATTACAAGCAAAATAAAATACCACTTTTACTACTCTTATCATCAATAGTACTCGTAAGAGCTCCAGTAACACTCGGAGTACCACTCTCATGAGTATCATTGTAGAACTCTTTCTGATGGTTCTTTGGCCTCTTTTATGGCTTCTTTTAGCAACTACAAGATAACAAACTATTATTAACGGCAAAAAATTCAAAATTAACAACAATGTTAAAATTATGTAATTTGCTTTTATTTTGTTAGACGTGTTAATTGGATAAGAGGCACTACGGTAAAATTACAAAAACATGCTGGCATTTGAATGATGCCGAGTTATAGGTAACAGCGCAAATTCAGGAGCCATCTTGTTTGAATCTTGTGTCTTCATTGATGATGGTAGATGCCTAGCCTTTAGAAGCTCGTTTAGATCCACGAGATTTTCGCCTGTAAGATAAAATAAATTGTAAAAATTTGTATTTAGAATAACATTTAAACAAAGAACATGAGACACACATGCAACCTATTGCGGTTACAACGACAAAGCTGTGAAAGCTGTCTCTTTTTGACGCAATCGCTCCGCACGACCGTGTGCTGTGCGCTACGCACCCTTCCTTGGCTTGCGAGCCCCTGGGGGAGTCGGTGGTGCTGGGGCGGCCCTCAGTGGTGCTCGGCCGCGCCTCGCTGCCCCGCGGCCCACCAGCGCCCGTGCTCGGCCTGCGGGCGAAGGGGGAACTAATGAATAAAGCCCCAATGGGAAAGGAGACCGGATCAGTTTAGTCAGCCAAAGTCTCTGCAGCGACTTTGGGCGAGAGTCCCGACGGTGGCCGATTTTCGATTCTAGCTTGTGACAGATCGCATTGTGATTTTCTCGACAAGTCGGAATCCTGAAGACTGTGTGATGGTGCGGTACATGGTAGGGGCATTGGTTGCGGCTGACAAAGGAAGACTCGGAAGTGAAGAGTGTATAGGAGGCGGTGTACACGGTATACACTGTTGAAGAGAAGGATTTAAACGAGCATTCTGTAAGGGACTTCCTCGCTGAGAGCCTAAAAATAGTGAGCTCCGATTATGGCAAAGGAGTACACATATTCAGGTCCCGTGAAGTGAATAATTTAGAAATGTTCGGAGAGAATTTGTTATAGACAATGGATGGCTGAAGCAAAGCAGAACCTATGCACGGATATTGTATCGCAGCGTCGAAGACCTTAGACAAGATTCGTAACATAGTGAAATCAAGTTACTTTTTAAAAATTCGTTAGAACGCGTGAAAGAAAATTAAGCGACAATAAAAATTATTAGGAAAATAGAAAAAATCTTCTGATTTTGATATAGTAGATTAGATGTTAGGTGTTAATAATTATTGAGTTTTTTTTTAAAATTTCATTTCTTGCTTAATTTAAATGTTAATAAACACGTGTTCTTTGAAATAACATGCATGGTTTTTCTTTGAAGATATTATTTTCAGATATTTTTTGGAGTACGCCATTAGCGGATGCTGTGGAGGTCACCGGCCTTTATACGTTGTATAAAGCTGGCAAATGATACAAGTAAGTTCAGTGCAAGCTTTATAGCCAGGCTGAATTCAACCGCTTTCTGGAGGAGAATCTCCTAGTCCCAACAGCCCAACAATCCGTACATCCGTTCAGTGGTCGCGTACGCTGCAAATTGGTCCTAGCTACGTCTTTGGCTGTCTACTACAGATAGGAGTTGTGATCGGATTACTTGAAGTTGAGTATTGGTCATTGATCATTGGGGTCGCCGCCTGAAATATTTACGATCTTGGCGTTGTGTGAAATTGCTTTACCACAGAATGTTCTGTATTGTGTGCCATGCATACAATGTGATTGCCGCGGCGCGGCCAAAAAAACAGTATTTTTTCTCAACTATGCTGAATTTTTAGTAAGGCTCTACTAAATCTGTAAATTTTATTTACAATGCAACAAAAAGAGTAGTATGTTCGGAGCAGATATGTGTATTTTACCCAACTTCGTGGAAAGAAGACCATGAACCTTCATTGATTTCTTTAGTTATTTCGACATTTCTGGTAAAAGTGATATTCTTAAATTTAATAATCCCAAAAAGCGCGACCTCGATAAGTGAAATATTGATTAGCACAACTAGTTTAATGTACAATATTTGACAAGAAAAGTTCTTTAATTTAGTAACCAAACGAACACTAAACACAATCGCGGTGTAAAAATATCTTTAAGAATGACTTTCCGTTCATCCTATGGGTCGCATGGTGTTGCATCCACGCACGGGACTTAGGAAGACGTGCCCCCCGATGGGTTAAACCAGATTTCGTAATACTGTACTGTTATACATAATACAATCCTTCGGATGAATGGGAAGTCACTCTTAAAGATCGGCAGACGTTAATGGATTTTAATGGCAGCCCACACTTTAGGGCAAACAAATCAATGAGTTGAAGACAAAAAGGTCGTATGAATGATCATATCCAACGGAAAGGTATTGAGCTTTTATTTTCAGAAGATGGTTTTACGAAAAGAACTGAATGACACGGCTTATATAACAAATAATGACCTCAGTAAATTATAAACTTCTGCGGTCTGTTTACGCTATAATACTGCCCTGTTAAATTGACTTTTCAACTAAACAGAGGAACAGAAAGCAACTCCGTGCTGGCGGCGTTCGTGAAGGATTTTACAAAAGTCGTTCGTTAAGAACTATCGAAATAATTGACTAGTGGATAAAGATGGCGGGTACTATGAGGTGAAGGCGGGTTCTATGTGACAGGTGAAGATGACTTGTACTACAAGAAAGGTTTATTTATATATTTTTCTTATAAAAAAGAAAATGGTATCATGAACGGTGTTGAACACTCATCGCCGATATCACCACTAACGGACTTGGTTGATTACAAACATCGGCTAACTCCTTAGTTTCCAAATACCAGTCGCGCCCTTTGTGTCCTATTTTGTCGACGTCAATAATTATTTTGTATCTGTGAAGAATATTAATTGCGTGATGGCGTTATGAACGTTAACACAGAACTTTGACGTGGCCAATGTCGAGTCAAAATTGTAAGGCCCTAATTCCGAAATATACCAGTGAAGATATCAGTAATGTTAGCGAGGGGTTGTGAGTAAGACAAAGGGTAATAGGATGACCCCAAGAGACAATGAGCTTCCTTGCACTTTGGGGGGCTTTGTGATAGCTGATCACAGTTTATGGAAAAAGGCGTTTATCCCTAAAAAGGCACTAGTAACGGGAAAATCGGCCACTCTAGAGACAATGATGATGAGGTGGTGATTAAGAGATGAAATAGTGATCTGATAGTGGGGCGAAGTGGTAGCGAAGAAATGGCAAGATATTGGAGAGACAGTGGCATGGAAGTGACGAAATAGTGGGCAGGTAGTGCCATGGAAGTAGCGAGGAGATGATGTAGAAGTGGCGAGGAGGTAGGAAAGAAGTGATGAGGAAGAGGCGTGTAAGTGTCGACCAAGTGTCGACCAAGTGTCGACCAAGTGTCGACCAAGTGTCGACCAAGTGTCGACCAAGTGGCGACCAAGTGGCGACCAAGTGGCGACCAAGTGGCGACCAAGTGGCGACCAAGTGGCGACCAAGTGGCGAAGAAGTGGCGAAGAAGTGGCGAAGAAGTGGCGAAGAAGTGGCGAAGAAGTGGCGAAGAAGTGGCGACGAAGAGGCAAAGAAGTGGCGACGAAGAGGCGAAGAAGTGGTGAAGAAGTATCGGCAAAGTACCGAAGAAGTGCCGACGAAGTATCGAGGAAGTGTGGAAGAAGTGGCGAGGAGGTGGTGAGGAAGTAGTGAAAAGGCCACGAGGTACAGAGAGGGTGCCCCCCGCTCCCACTCGCCTGGCGCCCTGCGCCGATAGGCTGGCCCTGGCGCCCTGCGCCGACATGCTGGCCCTGCCGCCCGCCGCCGACTCGCTCGCTCGCGGCTCGTGGGCCTCGCTGAGGCGGGTGCCGCGCAGACTCTGCTTGGAGGTCGCCGTGGCGCTGGGGCGGGCAGAGAGGCTGGAGCGCGACTGCTGGCGAGCGGCCAACGCCGTGCGCGACACCCGGGCGGCCAGCGCGCTGCTCCGCGACCTGCGCCGGCGGTGAAACAGGAACCATTACTATTGACTTCATTTAAACAACAGCAATAAGAAGGAATATTAAAGATGAAACTTAAAAACTATTTACAACAGTACAATCGCTCGATGAATCTACAGTGCACTAGGAAAGTCTCTCCGTTCTGAGCCGAATTATCATCGTCATAGAGGCCAAAAAGCGCCTTTGCCATTGCCACCATGACACTCTGTCCTTCGCTGTCCTCTTCATCTCTGCATAATTTTTTAGTTCGCTTTGAAATTCTAAATTTTTTATACTAGGTCTCCCTCTTCTTCTTTTTTCAACTATATTTTAGTTATAAATTGTGTTTAAGAATTAATTAGGCTTACAACTGCGGCATCGGCTTAGAACAGAATCAGTCTCGTATTAAAATCCGCATTTATGTTGTTAGCAACCAGAGCACTGTGAAATAAATAACGGGAACAACACTTCCACCATCTATAATGATTGTGACGAGTACACAATTTACATTTTCAAGCCGCAGCTCGTGCTGCCAACATGATTTCTGTTGCCAGCACTCTCATCCGCAAGGTACCACTGCGGAGAGACTTTCCTGGCACACTGTACTTTGTATTTATTTACTCATTCGCCGATAAAAGTAGTAAACTCTTACGGTAGCATATTGGGGTGTAGCATGAAAGTTAAATAATCTAGAAGCAGAGCAGCAACCATCTAAGCATTTCTTCAAATGAATCAAGAGAAACCGGACGAACAATGCTATATAAATGGGAGAACTATATGTAACTGTTGCTACACGCATATTAAGTCCTTTAACATAAATTATACGATTTTAAATGTCGAGGAAAGACTTTACAAGGCACATGAACGTGAGTAGTTTCATCTATGGGGTTGCAAAATAATGTGCCTTATAAAGTACTCGCTGAGCTCGTGAATACATTTCGCATTTGTAATCTTTGTATATAATGTGATCATCCTTTCTATTATTGGAAAACTACAGAAGCTACGACCCTCTTAGTGATACGACCCCCTTCACTGAATGTTAATTCCGTTAATAGTTAACTCGCCTTTCTGATCTACATGATAATCACGAGTATCAATGTCAAAATATTTAAAATCATCGATAAATCCTATCATAAACAACAAAGGCGTATATACCATTAAAAGCAACTTGAATAGAAGCATAGTAGTTTACTTAAATTATCAACCTCTTGCAAGTTCAAGGTTTTCATTTTGTTGATTATGGCTGAAAGAAGTGACGACACTTGACGAAGTAAAATAAACGTAGTGGGGGATTACTCATACTAAGCACTCAATGTCCAATAAGGGCTTGGAGACGGGTTGCGTCGAGGACGACGCAACAAAAAAGTATTGACTTCTAAAGTCATTTGTTTATAAATGTTCATTAGATAGAGGACGCAAAAAAGACGTTTATATGTGAAATAATAATAATAATAATAATAATAATAATAATAATAATAATAATAATAATAATAATACGAATATTAATTCCTACTAAAATGCAAAACAATGGTACTTTTATAAGCTTCACAAGTGATACTTGATAGCGACAAGTCTAACATTAAGTTGACAGTCTTCTTTTTGTTAGGCATTGTTTCGTTGTATTACTTTGGTACATACCCTCGTTATCTATGAAAAAGCTTAAATTAAACAAATTTGAATTTATCCTTTCATTTGATGCCTTTCTTATGGTCCAGTGTTCCTTTATGCTCAACGAGCTTTTTCATTACTCTGTTAAAGTACATAGGGCGATCTTCTCATCTTTTTCGTCTTCTTGTTTTGTTTTTTGTTATTTAAGGTCGTATCAACATCTAGGTCATTAGTGACCACTATTGCATTTAAGAGTATAACGGTGAAATTACGTGATTTGGTGATGTTAGAGGGTGAAAGGACGAAAACAGCTACAGGATGCGCCAGAGAAACTTACTTATTTGAAAAAATTCCCGCGCGGTGAGTTGGGCAGTTAGAGGGGCGAGAGGGGGCGTATCTGGAGGGGGAAGTTCCCCAGTTTTTTTCTCCTTCCAGTCAGTTGCCATCATGCTGTGGACTAGAGAGCAGCGGGCCTTCGCAGTCGAGAGCTTCTTTTCTAACGGTCGCTCACTTGTTGCTACGCAACGTGCCTTCCGCGCTCGCTTTGAAATTCCTCCTCACAGACTCGTTCCTGGCTGTAATTCGATTCTGTCGTGGGTTAACTCATTTCGGGAGTGTGGAAGTGTCGCTAATGGGAATAATTGGTCCTCATTTTTTTTGAAGAAAACGAACGCGCAGTTACCGTGAATGGAGCTCGTTACAGGAACATGATCGAGGAATTTTTTCTTCCAAGACTCGAAGAAATGAACGTTAGGAGCGTGTGGTTTCAGCAAGATGGAGCCACAGCACACACAGCACGAGACACAATGAATTTGTTGCGACAAAATTTCCCGACCGCCTCATCTCTCTCAGAGGCGATCTCCAATGGCCGGCACGCTCTCCATATTTGACTCCATGCGATTTCTTTTTATGGGGTTATTTGAAATCCCTTGTTTATGTCGATCGACCACGGACCATAGCACACCTCAAGAACAACATTCGCGACGTCATTGCCAACATACCGATTGATATGCTGCAAAGAGTGGATACGAATTTCAAAAATCGACTTCATCATTGTATGCGCAATGGAGGTCGCCATTTATCCGATGTCATTTTCAAGACTGCATGAAAAAAATTGGGATATTGTATTCTCAAATAAAAAAAATTAAAACAATAACTGAAGTACTTTTGTTTTTATTGACCTTTCAAATAAGTAAGTTTCTCTGGCGCACCCTGTACAACCATGCCCGAGGCGAGACTCAAACCCGCCGGTCCGAGATCGCTGCGGTACTACTGCCTTAACGATCTCGGCCGCCGGGAGCGACTCATCTGCTTTATTACTTGCGATTTATCGTATTATTTTGTAGGGAGGGCTTCCGCCTTATTCCGTCGTTGGATTTGCAAGTCGATCTTACCGCGACTTCCGCAACTCGACCGCACTCGGGGCTTTCTCCACCACCTCCTTGACGACTTCTTCTGGTCCTTCCTCGAACTCCCCTACCTCCTCCGTAGGGTCGTCGAACCTCCCGGCCACCTGTAATTACAGTTTTACTTTCTTGTACACTTACACATAAATGGATTTGGTACAGAAAAGTTACGAAACGTAGTAGAAAATTGAGGTTTTAACAGAAGTACAACATTAATTGCGTCCTTGAACAATACTATTACATAGACTTTTCATAGATTTTTTTTAAAAAGTGGGTTTAATGTGGGTGCAATTTATGCAAAAAGTGGGTGCAATTTATTTTGGAGAAATTCAAATTTGTATTTACTAATGTACAATTTACCCCACTTTTTCTGTTTTTCCTCTCAAGAACATTATTTGTTGTATGTTATTATTTACACAAGTATTTTTGTTCTTGTAACAAATAACACGGTTGAACGAAAAGAGCCCAACCTGATCACCGTATTGGAGCTCAAGCAGACGCCGCCAGTAGTCGAAAAGTCTTTGCGGCCGAAGGGTCTTCGGATCTGTTGCGAGCAGTGCACGTAACTCTTCCTGTAAAATATAGATTCAGCAATAAGTTAGAAATAGTCCCTGGACACGAGGTGTATAGATTACGCTATTTCATTTTGCTAAAACTTTAACTAAAAGCTCTAAAGTTACAAAGTTGTTCCATGAAAATATTTCCTTCATTTATTTTTACGTCTGGTAATTTGTTTAACAACATAAATATAAAAAAAATTCAAAAAGCATAAATGTTTTTTCTGAATTTCTCTTTTCTTCAAAACATTTTTGTTGTGTTCCATAATATTTAATTTTTAGAAACGAGCTTTCCATTTCATAATAATAGCATTAATAAGAATTGTTATTATTATATTAATGGGGATACTTTTTGCATTTGTTTCTTGCTGAATGATTAAATGATTTTAATAATAAAAATGAAAAAAAAACTTCTCCATTTCTTTCAGATGATTCATTACTATCAATGTTGTTTCGTGTTGAAATGGTCTACGTATTTCCATCTCATATTTATTGTTGCAAGCACACATTTAAATATTTTTCGTTTCGCTATCAGATGAGCCATCATAGTACTGCTACCTCAGAGAGATCTTGAATTGAGTTAGTTTTTCACGATACATGTGTAAAATTAAAAAAACAAACAATTGTATAATATTTGGACTAATTCCAAAATTAACTTCATTTCAAAGCAAGATAATTTGTTGCCAGAATTGTGTAAGTAATGCTAGCTGTACTTTGTGTTAAAAAATGGAAAATCATAACATGCCGAAAGCCGGCGCGCAGCGCACAGCGATCCCCGTGAGACACTCGAAAAGGCAACGAGATGGCCCACCTCCAGCCAGACTAAAATCCGAGGGTTGACCAGTGTCACCCCAACCAGTGCACACAATGGAGCGCTTTGTCGGAATGTTACGCGACAAGGCTGTGCCACGTGTGGGGACGGTGTTTTTCTGTGTTCATTGTGTTCTCAGTATAGTGAAAGTGAGTAGAGTGAAGGTCAGCAAATTTCGTCTGTATGTGAGTACCCGTCATATATGACGGTATAATTGTATTTAAACTGTGGATTCTTCTGTGTACACGGCAACCATATCCCATAACCAAAGAAGTATCTACCGTTCATTGAAGTATTAAAGATTGCATTAGCAAACTTGGTACTATTAATAATTCTTACGATGTTAGGTTTGTGTTTCATGAAGGAAATAGTATCGTTATTCGGTACTATGCAAATAACTGATTATATCTCTAATAATCACTCCAATATAATCATTAATGAAATGAAAGTTGCCATTGGATCTTTTATTAATACACACGAGAGAGTAATAATATAAAATATGTGTTTCATAATCTATAATCAGGTTCTGAATGTGAACTTAGTAAAATAAAACATTCCAATCTATTCTAAAAAATCATTTCTCAAAGTAGGAATTTTCGAATCTGGATTTTTCAGCATTGCGAGGTTTAAATGATAGCTGTTTGGAGTTCCATTGATTTCAAAAATCTTCCCAAAGCTACTTTTGAAGAGAAAAAATAGTTTGTTCAATATGTAAACACACAATACATAGCAAATCAGTGCCTCTCCAAAACAAGAAAACAAATTAAATCAACACTATTCAACTCAAAGATGTTTTAACTAATAGTGAAAAGTTGCAAATACATGTGCACTGAAAAACCAAACCAAATAGAAGATATGGAGGTAAACAAATTCCATGTTATTAATTAGAGAACACATTTATTTTATGTATCATCACAAAATGAACTAATGAATGACAATATTTACATTGACAGTAAATTATCTCACAAGGCAATCTAAAAAAAAGAATACATTAGTACACAAGATATGCTACAACCTAAAATTGTTGAATAACTTATTGCAACCATTAAAAATCATATTGATGAAAACCAAAAAATATTTGTATGATCTATGATCAATTTAAGAATTTCTTAAACAAAAACATTGGGACAAATCACTCCTGTCATAATTGCTAAACACCTCTCTAATGATATCACAAACTCTAATGATATCTCCACATGTTGTCACAAATATATTCCTTTGTCAATAAAATATGAATCTAAAATAGGTTTTCAAGACTATAAAGTTAGAAACAAAACAATCAAAAACAAGAAGTTATAAATATGAAAGTATTGAAATTACCTCAATGGCAAAAGTGATAATAAATATAATTCAGTGGAATATCAATGACTTCTATTTAAAATACAAAAGACTGTCAAATTACAATCCTGAAATAATCTTCTTACACTGTAACTTAAAGCAAGTAGTACTAGTAAAAAAAATACTTAAAATGTTTTAATGAAAACAGTCACTCCTCTAGTATACATAGTAGAGGTGTCGCAATATGTGTTTCAGAATGTTTACTTTCAACATAAGTAGACACGAAGACAGACATTCAGGTTCTAACAATTCAAATTCAAGCCCCAAGAATAGTCATTGAGTGTAATATTTACCTTCTTAATAGTTAAACAAATACCGTTCAAGATTTGATCAAACAAGTTCCCAACTTTATTTTAAACCTTTTATTTTACTCGGTGACAGCAATATCTTCAACACTATACGGGGCTAAAAAAGACACTTCGTAGTCTTGTCTTCGTCCGCCTGTCCGCCTGTCTGTCGGTGGGTCAGTCTGTCCGTCTATCTGTCGGTCTCTGTTCGCCTCTCGTTTTCTGTTCCTCTGTATGTCGGTCTCTGTTCGTCTGTGTAAGGAAATGTTTATTAAACCTTCCAAGGACAAGCAAACATTTCCAAAATTACTGGTATTACAAAATGGCACAGTCTTCCCCGCAATAATTAGTTTTCTAATACCTTTAGTTTATGCTGACTATTCGCCTGTCTGTTCGCCTGTCTGTCCGTCGATCAGTCTGTGTGTCCGTCTGTCCGTCTGTCAGTCTGTTTGTCCGTCTGTCTGTCTGTAACTACAGTATTAAATATAAAGATTTTTCACGTATCCTAATACATGACCTAACCTTTTATTCAAAACTAAACCTTAATGAGATCGTATACATTCATAAATGTTAATGAGATTGTGTAAACATTTTAGCTATTTACGCGCAATTTGGCGTAAAATAATACAATTTCAGAACCAAGATTTCCTCAAAGATTCCACAAATATTTCTTTTAAAATTTTTGTAGGGAAAAATCTAAATGCACTGAAAGAGTGGGGTAAACTTCATTTCGATGTATTCTTTTGATTTGTCAAAAATGTGTTTTATATATCTCTCATGTCCTTTACTCATTTACTCTGTTATTTACTTTAAGGGTATTTTTTATACATTATTGTATTAGTCCGAAGAAGTACTTTGAAAAAAAATTGAAAAAAATGTATTGTAGGCGCCGATTGGAGGCAGATGGGAAGAGGACGGGGCAATACCGAAATATCGGCATAAACTAAAGATATTAGAAAACTAATTATTGCGGGGAAGACTGTGCCATTTTGTAATACCAGTAATTTTGGAAATGTTTGCTTGCGCTTGAAAGATTTAAGAAACATTTTCTTACACTTTTTATATTCAGATCTGTATGCTGATGGGAGAATTTACGGCATTTTGAACTACAAATTCTCCTGTTGCGATAGGATATGATTAATTAAACATAATTACCATTTCAAACCAAACTGTTGACTCTTTGACCTAACCTTTAACCCACAAATCAAAGATAATATATTTTAAAACAGTTTCTCTCATGTCGAAAATAGCATATGTTGTTTCTCCTCAATCATTCGTCCGTGAAGGAATCAATAGAAAAATTGTACAGAAAAAGGGCTTATGAACTTGGTTAACCTACCAAACGCGCCATAGTGGATCTCAAAGCGATTGTAGTGTCTCTACCAGTGTATCTCATCATTAGGTGTTTTCAATGCATGTTAAACCAAACGAGATCACAATAGATCTTGTATTCATCATGATAATATCTTCCATCTACCACATCATTTATGAGGTTCTTTTGTTGAGCGATTTGAAGTGGTAGTATAACGACAATTTTTTAACAAATATTGAAGAGCCATCGTTTCATTATTGTGTAATTATGAGAGTTACCAAATTGAAAATAGTGCACGTATTCTCCAGGATCTATAATGTAATAAAATATTCATGAGTCAGTTTTTGATTTTTTGGAATTTGTATTTTTCTCAGAGGGACTTGTACGTTAGTTAAAAATCAATAATGACGTGTAACGTCTTTTATGGTGCATACCATTGCTACATGTCCAAGAATTTACAATGTAGTCACCCTTTTTTCCGCGTACCTCTGTGAAGTCTGATAATCTTTTACACCTTCGACTTCCACATCTGGAGGGTCTTGCCTGCGGAGTTTGACAATTATTAATACGAAGTTGGTGCAGGAATATACAAGGTGTTAAGTAATGTGTGGGAAACTTGTGGGGGTTTCTTGAAGGACACAGAAAGAAAGCCAAAGAGTTCTTATTAGTAAACGGTGTGCTTCCCGTAGTTTCCCAATTACGGGCGCTTTTTTGTTATTGCATGTTTGCCCACTACATACTCGCTTCTATTTGTTTTGTAATGGAAACACCTATGAGGGATGGATGGGAGTCTTAAAAATAGCAAAATTAATTCATATAAGCATAAGGTCTATTTTTCATGATTTATAAATTACAAGTTTTTTTGTTTCTAAAACAAATGTTCAAAATGATTGTCATTAGCTGTAACACAAACTAGTATCCTCTGCAACAAAGATTGTCTTACTCTCTTTTTCATATTTCAATGATTGCTAATATCTACTGAAATCCTTTTTCAACACGCTGGCGAAGAATATCAATGATCGCATCAGAACTTGAGTACATAGGGTTCTTTAGAAGTCCCCATAAGTAAAATTTCTGTGGGTTGGGGTCAAGAGATCGGAAAGGCATGATGTTGCTACGCCACGACCTATACATTTATTTCAGAAATACTGGTTTACATTTTTTTTTGGCTCTTGTTTGGTGAGAAAAATGAGGTAGAGCTCCATCGTGCATGAACCACATGTTATGAATTAAGTGAAGTGGGACCGCTTCCAGCAAAGCATTTAAA